TGATGCACAACACAATGATGCACAACACAATGATGCACAACACAATGTTGCACAACACAATGATGCACACAACAGTGTGGGTCAGCGGAACTGAATCCAAATACAGCAATTTCAACAAAAATTATGAATTAAATTGTGTTTGAATGTGGGGAAAGCTTCCTTTAACATCCTCTCCCTTCAACTTACAATGCTTTAGTGTTGCTCAGTCATTGCAGCTTTTTCACTCCCCCCCCCCCCCCCAACACACACACAAAAGAGAGAGACTAAAAGATTCCTCCTTGTTGTTGTGGTACTAAAAGCTTCCATTTTTTGGAATGAGCTAATGATGCTCGTTTCACAGCTCAAAGCGATCATTAATGTATGACACAGCCTTGAATGTAGGATATCAAAAGAGTGGTAGAGTGATGTTCAACCTCCCCCCTGCAACCCCCCGCACCACCTCCTTCTAGTTAGGACAGCGGGGACATGAAATAATCATCAGTGGTCTCTGTAACAAGGAAGGAAATTGTCAGCAGCCTCATCTGTTGACAGAAATGTCCCTTTAACGACCACAAACGGATACAGCTTCCCTCTAATCCTCCATGTTTTGTTTTTTTTACAGAATCACTAAAATCGACTTCACCAGATGAGCTGAAGGACGTGCTCCTTCTCATGTACGCTGATCCAGTCCCTTTTTTAAAAAATGTGATGGTACAAGCAAGGTGAAAAAAGGAGGACGGAGAAGTAAATCAGTAAGTCGACATGACAAGGGCAAATTTTCTCAGATGCGTTATACAAAGAAAGACTCTGAACGACGTCAAGATCCCTCACAGCACTGAGAAATAATAGTGTTGAATAGTGAAGTCATGGCATGCCTTGTCCTTCCAGAAACCAAAGAAACCACTTATAATGAGATTTTTACAACCTATGAAAAGCATTTAGCAGCTAATATTTATTTAATAACTTTTATCTATAGCAGAGCACTCATCTACCTGTCAGCTTCTTAGGTTCTGATGCTACAAGACACATTTTTGCAACATTGAAGGCACATTTTTAAATTAATGTCACGTGAATCTGAAAAGGTATGCATGTTTTTATTGCTAAACTATTGAAGTACAGAACTTTTGAGACTAATTTATCTTTATATGAAGCCCCTGTCTATTTAAACAAACAAATAATAACATGATAGCAGGGTTTCTGCTTTTTGGCACCGGCGGATTCCTTTGTTATCGATTGTTGAAGAAGACGACGGCAGCAGTTTTGGCCATGGCCAAACTTTAGCGTCTGTGTGAAGGTTTGGTTCGTGCTTCGAGTACTCAAAATCAGCTGATTTACAAGCTAAACCGTAAGATGGAAGGAATTTGTGAGCATTGCAGGCCACTTGTGGCTTCTGGGACTCGCCAGCATGTTGGGGACGACCTTGGAGGGTCTAATAAGCACGGACCAGTGGAATGCCCACAAATCTGGCCATTTTGGATCGAAGTACCAGCAGGACTCAAAGCTGACAAGAAAAAAACAGTCTGCCTGAAAAAAATCAATAACTGGGGCTTATCTGAATCTGACTC